ATAGTAGCCAATCTCCCCCTCCTCTACCCTTTTCAAAAAATGAAAATAGCGCTTGTGAATGTTATTGAGACCTAAAAGCTCTAATTTCACGCGATGTGATACTTTAAGAGAGTTAAGAGTATCATCTTACCATCTTCTGAGGCTGAAAAAATAACAAAATCCGCCAGCAATATTTCATTGTGAATCTAATCTCTAGTATACTCATATTAAAGAAACTTCTTAACACAGTATATCCACAGTCTTCTTCAAGTTCGTTGTACTATCTATACAAGTTTTGGAAAGAAAAAAAATTATGTCTTCTTCGAACCAGCGTACAATACAGGGAATGGTTATTAAAATTTCTGCTTTTGAAGAAATTTTTTCTCTATAGATATCGTTTGAAGTACGATATTTTATTCAAATGTGATACCCAACTACTAAATCTTTATTACATTATGGAACATTTCCGACTGTCTATTTTGGCAGTCTTAAAGATCCGTTGAATACAATCAGCATGCACCGTAATATTGAGCCATGGTTAGATGAGGAAGTCTACACCACTGCTGACTCTGATCTCTATTATTGAATTTTATTTTAATTTTGAAATCTTAGTTATACAATATGAATTTTTTTTTTGCTAAAAATTTTTGAAATATGTTAAATCTCAATTTTTGTGTTATTTTATGTCTAATAATTTCTTTTCTTACAGATTTTTTAATTCTAACTTATGAATGTTGATGATGTAACCATCATTAAATTTCCTTTTTCATTTCTACCTTTTTCTTAAAATTCTTTTTGGTTTTTGAAATAAGTACGTTTAATCTTTAAATATTCTTCTCTTATAATTGCTTTCATACCTTTTTGTATTTATTTCTTACTGTTCTAGTATTAGTTTTTTTTTTTCCTAGGAGCCCTGCAATTTATTTCATTGAAAAGTAGGAACGCAGCTTCTTGAGACTTGATAGTTGACATTAGAAAAGATTTTGAGATTTCCCACATTGAAAGTATTCTACTATAACTGGATAAAAAAATTTGTGTCAAATATTTAAGAATACACATATTGACAACACAATTCATAACATTCCAGAAATGGAATCACTACTTGAAAAATACTAAAGCTCTCTTTCTTGACAAATTTTCATTATGCTTACTTCTGGTATTTCATCAGACAAATACGTGCTTTGTAGTCCTTTTACTTAAATTTTAAAATATCCCTGTCTCCTTCATCGATTTTTACTTTATTAGAAGATAAACAACAATAAAAAGAATGGAATAAAATAAACTAACTACACTTCGGTAAAAATGACAAATAAGATAAATAAATTGAACAATATATATAGTTTTACTGCAAAGAACAATAATAAATAAACTAAGTGGTAAATAAAGATATGTTATCTTAATAAATTAAAGTAAGTTCTTAAGTAAATTCTTGAAAGAACAGGTATTCTTAAACTAAATGAAGCGCTGTAATCTTTTGGAAATTTTTGTTTTACGATACAACTAAACCGATGCTATGTGGTCCATTAAAGTAATGTATCGGATGCTCGGGAATTCTGTCTTCCAACATTCCACCATTGGAACCCGGTAATTCACTCCCAAACTTTCACACAAAAATACTAAAGCATTTAGAGATTCAAATAAATTTAGAAAGTGACGTTGTCCTCACCTTTCTATGAGATATTGTTTTTTAATTTTTTTTCCCCTCTGACCTTCAATGAAACCGTAGAAAGCTACGCACACCATCTCAAACTGACTCCTTGCCACTAAACTTTCCTTCTTTTGTATGTTATATAAAGTATACCAATCAGTCTCATTTTAATACATCATCGGAATGGTTTTTTTTTTTTTTTTTTTTTTTCTGTTCTATCGATTTTATTTTTACAAGCAAGCCTACATTTATTTTTTAAATTTAATGCAAATATGCAATGACTTAACTAACTGTATCTTCTAGATACACATTTCGAATTGACTTTTTAAAATATACTAAAGCAGTGAATAAAATTATAATAGCGACATAAGAAAAAAAAAATAGTTTTTTTTCAAATTCAAAAAGCTATTTTTGTTATGAATAGTGAAAGGTGCATGAGTTGAAAACTTAAGAATTATTTAATTAAAATTGCAGAACAATTAAAAAATATTAAAAGTGAGAGAGGGAAAAGATTCTGTTGTTATTCTCTTTCATTACAAGTAATTGAACAGCTTCTTTTCAATCAAAAATTAATGTTCATGTTTTTCTACTATGGTCTGCTTATGTGAACGTCACATTTAATTGTTTTTAAAATTAAAATTAATCAACTCTGCAGATGTTTGCAATAAAATGTAGTCGTACCAAAAGCTTGATCAATCATAATTTATTTTAAAGGAATTCAAATTTTATTTAAATTTCATACGCTAGTCACGTACTTTGACGATAGTCCTTTCTCCTTTTTTTAAGGAAAGAAATAGATTTCCTACAATGAAAATCTATTTCTGACAGTAAGGCTCCCTCAGCATTATTGAAATTGCCGTAATATAAGAGACTTATCCCGGATCTATTTTGGCTCGGAAAAATAAATAATCGCAAAGAATAACATAAAAGTCTCTTTTCGAAGCCAGATTTATCGATGTTTTCTTTTTCAACAATTTAAGTGTGTAAAAAGCATTGTTATTCTAGAAAGTGCAATTTGAAGCCAACAAATTACTAAATGGAATAAAATGAAGCAATTTTCAAAAGAAAAAATGTCGAATTTATCGAAATTCTACTTTTAAAACGAAAAGTATGCTACTTATTTTTAAAAAAGTATTTAAACGAAAATGCATTTTACAGAATGCTCATAACAAGAGTTTTAATATTTTGTTAAAGCAATAAAACTCAATACCAATTAATTGAAAACTTCCAAACGAAATGTCTGTCATATGCGTTTTGTCAAATAAAAATATTGAATTTCTATAAAATGTATATTTCAAACAGACTTTTTCCCTTACTGTCCTCGGCTTTCTTTTTGTTTTTCAGTTATCGTTCTATAAATAAAGTACTTCCTCTATAATCCGGCACTTCCCCTTTCCGACCCCTGACAGTAATCCTGCGTTTTTACTCAGGCAAATAAGTCGCTGCTTATCGCAGTCCATGACAGCTGTGTGGGAGTGAAAATACACTGTCCCTCCCGAACAGCATATTCAACGCCAAAATAGTGACTGTACAAGTGTACATTCACTCCTTGATCTGCAGTACTTCGTTGGAGTAATTTTGTATGAGTGAAGTCCTCTGTTTAAAAATTGTTTGTACTGTGTAAACGTACAGAAAACTATTTCTTGTGGATGAAAATGAAATTTTGAAGAAACATTAAAAGAATTACAAGTTAGACTCATTAAAGACTGCGAAGATGGTCGAGCTTCAAGTGGATACACCTAATAATGCTCCGACAATAGACGACGTAAGCGAGTGACTGACTGTGACGATGATGAAAACAACTATTTAATGACGGTCGATGATCTCACAGAAACTTTTATCTCTGCAGAAGAAGATGAAGACGCGGATGAGGGAAGGAGATTTGACGACAGTGTTGTTCAAAAAATATCTCAAGATGAAGCCACCAATTCCCTAACTGGCTCCAAAGCCTGGATGGGGAAAAAAGGTGTCTCCGTGAGTGACATTCTAGTTCAAAGGAATAATGGAGGATTTTAATACAAAACAGTATATTTTTTTGTATTTTTAGTACTTTGTAGTGTTTGATACTTAACCTGCGCACATTGTATAAAATTTTATAGCAATAATATATAGCCTTAGCCGTTTAAATGCGTTATCATTAGTAATTTTCCAATAATCCATCATCTTTGGTAATCTGTCAGTACTCTGGTCGGAGAGTATTACATTTACAATCATTACTCATTCTTCTAGGATATAACATTTCTAGATATGTTATTTCATTATTTAAACCATATTCTTAAATCACTTGATACTAATAAAACAAAAAGAATCGATTTATCGATTAAAAGTATCAAATTTAATCAGATTACATAGAATTAGTTTTTAGTTAATGATGCCAAATTAAAAAAAAATATATATTGTTTACATGTAGTATATTACAAAAAATAACACTGTTTTATCTTTACTTTCCTAGCTATTAAATCATTTTGTTTGTAGCATGTATCATAATTATACCTTTAAAAAAACTTATCTCAATCTTAGTTTTTTTGTTAAAGAAAGAACAAAAATAACCCGAAAGTGCATAGAAAAATATGAAAATGTATTGCATTAATCATTTTGCGAGTGCTAAATATCTTAAACATATTATTACTCTAATGTTTCACTTTTAATATGTTATAAAAAGTAAATTAAAAAGTTACACTCTATTTTAATTTGATAGTTACATATTTTTTTGTATACCTTTCACTATTTTAATGGCATAAAAACAATTATTTCTCAGTTTTCCTTAATTTAAATGATTTATGAAATGCTACAGAAAATGAATTTTTTTTATATCGACTACTGCTACTCAATACTATTATCAGTAATTAAATTCCCCCCCCCCCGATACTGTGTTGAGTTAAAAGGTATAACTCGGAAAATCGAGGAAAGCAAAAACTATATTTGTTGGCAGACATTAAAGTAATTGAACAAAATTTTATATCTGATTATCAAGTCATTTTTCTATATTAAATTATTTTAAAATTGTATGATTTCAATATAGTTTTACACAATTAATAAAGTTTAATTATTTCATGAACATCACTCTTGATACTGATGTACCGTACAAGAAATTTTTTTTCCTATTTAAGTCATACCATCAACTTAAGCTTTCTTTATTATTTTTTAATAATTTCTCCTCTATAAATAAACAGGACTGGCATTCAATAAAAAAAGAATGACGAATAAAGCTGCAAATTATTGTACATGCTGTTTTGAAAAATAAAAAAAAAAAAAAAAAAAACATATATCATCAGGATAAATTATCTTACTAATAATACTAATATATTCAGCAGAAATATGAACTTGTGAACATATTCACCCTAAGATATATAAGTATAAGCTATCCCACGGCGAGCTTGGTAGATAGAGCACGGGATTCTTAATCTCGGGGGCGTGGGTTCGAGCCCTACGTTGAACAGTCAGTATCTTTTTAATTACTAAAATTATGTGAAGAAGAATGTAGTTTAAGTTAAAAAAAACAATTAATTTTTTTTTTCTAATTCGATTTTAAATGTAGTAATCATAATTATAATCCTTTTAAAATTCACTTATTTTTGGATTGAATGTAGTTAAAAATGTAACATTTATAGGGTATTATAGAAAAAATTTTAAGCATTTGATATATTTACTAACAAGCTATTAAAATTAACTAAGAAACAAGCAAATAAATATATATTTTGTTATTTATTTAATTAAATTAATCATATTGTAAAACTTGTTAGGATTAGATCTTTATTAAAATATCGTTGTAGTAACTTCAGGCATCTTTTTAATGTACTTTAATAAATGAGGGGGAAATGGAAAAAATAAACGCGAGAACTTTACTTGTTCTTTGTTGTAAGGATAAGTAACCCCCCCCCCCCTCATTACAGTGAGTGCCTATTGTGAATCGGTTGTCGCATTTGCCTCGTTCGCAGAAGCTCCCAGGCCCGAAGTCTATTCTGAAGCATATTTTGATTTCGCTATTAAGACTTCAAGCTGTTTTAATTTTTATTTTGCTTTATTTATTTATTGCTATTATTATTCTTATTTTTAACTATCTTTGTATGCTTTTTAGCAAAATCTAACGTGCAAAAAAATAACTTATTTTTAATCGTATTTCGAAGAATTCTATTTGATAATTTTTTTTTATTAAAAATGATATATTGATATAAATTAATAGATTAATTACATATTTTTACGATTCACTCATGGGCATCATAAAAATAATCGATAACGATTTTTAAAAGCTTTTCCTAAGAGTTCAAATCAACTATAATTATTAATAATAATGATAACTATTATTATTAGTAGTAATAATATTTAATAAAAGAAAAAAAATGAGTAATTAAACTCTCTTGATCAGTAAAAATAATAAATGAAGAAAAAGAAACGATTACGTTGAACCAAAAAATTAAATTTTCTTGATTTCAAGATATGAAAAACTAGATCTGGCTGTAAAAGAAGTCTGAACTTATTATTTATTTATTTAATCAATGTGCTACTTTCGTTTGTTTGACATTCTGAATTATTCATTGAAAAACATTTTGCTTATATATCTAAATAAAAAATTTCGATAGCTAACCAACGCGTTTTTTGTAGTGTATCTTACCATCAATTATGTGTAAAAAATTAGTTTCCATAGCTTTAAACCTACATCGAGAATTACAATTTTTACTTGGATCACATACTGATTATATAATAAAATATGAAAATCTAATGTGTTCACATCATACATGTCTTTTTCTATCTCATAGGATCTTCTAATTTTCTTATCAGTCTGTAAGTAGAATGAGAGTTACGATTCTCGCCAATAACCCAAAGAATGCTGATTTACAGCCTGCGGGAACTTTCGGAATTTCAGTTTGGTTCTCCGCGAAAAATATATTACACAAATAGAGAACATGAGATGGAAGAAAATGTTAGACAGTTATGAGATTGAACCATACCTTGAAGGTCTCGCATTAATGATAAAGCTTAGCGTTATTCCTGAATTATAAGAATACCTTTCATTGAATATTAATTAATATTAAGATAATGCCATACTTTAGCGAAAATATTATATTCAGTTAGTGAATGAATAATTAATGTATCGCAAATCCTTTTACAAAACCGTCACGAATTTATTTCTTTACTGCCGATTATACAAATTCTTAAAGCTTGTAGTTTTTAATAAATTTTAAGCATTATTTAAATATGGAATGTAAATTAAACTTTTTATTAACATTCGAACAATGGAAGACGTCTCTGGGAAACTCAAACGCATACATTTACTCGTATTTTTAACTGTTTCGAGTGCGTGTAGAGTCAGAATTTGCAATATATTCCGATACGTAACGTTCTTTCCCCTTGCCTTGAGACCAAACCAGTTTTTTTCCCATGGGTATGGATATCGTCTTTCCATAAGCCGACATGTAGCAAAGCTGATGCCCTATGATACGTTGGATCTCAAAGGTGACGTGATTCAAAGTCACCAAGTCCGTCGCCATTAGCTATCGTGTATTTTAGTAAGTCTCAACCTGTGGTACGCATGCAGTCGATGATATGTGCACCCCAAGGGGGCCGCGATAAGGGAATGGTTTTGGAGGTTACGCTGCTGAAAATTGAACAAAGTTTTAAAATGTTTAAAGAAATTTTTAAAAATCGGCAGAAGTTTCTTATTAAGATGTCAGTTGTAGAATTGTCAATTTCATGAAAAGGAGAAACTGCTGAAGCTGGCATCAGATACCACTCTGAAGGAGCCTCTTCAGTGGAAGAATGGTGAACCTAAAAAGTTTATGGGCTCGTCGCGGTGAAGAATGCGTTGAAATGTCTAAAAACACCATAATGATTTTGCTGTCGTTTAACAGAATGAAGCTTGTTGAATGGGATTCTTTTTTTTCGAATACTTACGTAAAAAAATAAATATAAAGATAATTTAAATGTAGCTCCGGATTGAAATTGCGTATTTATCTTCTTTTGCGTCTAATTTTTCAGTTATGTGATTTAATGAAGTCCCAGATATCTTATTTTTTTCTCCAATCCTTTTGTTAATTTGCTTGTTTTTCCTCAAAAATAAAAGTTAAAAAAAAAAACAACAACAACTGTGCAATAAAAAATAGATCACGTAATGTAATTCAACACATCACTTTTGAAGAATTTTTTGGAAACTGTAATGGTTAGCAGAAGGAGTGTGGATGATTCTTGGACGAAAGTACGTGGAAAAAAAGAAGAAGTCGAGCAAGCTGGGGTTACGTGGACTGAAAAAGGTTGGGAACAACTTGAGTAGATTTTAGCTATAATCATATAGCTATAGAGAAGCTTTTAGCCATTAATAAATCATCGCTCAATCAACACTGACAATATAGTGTTTACATGTATTCAAAATATATACTAAATAATAATAAAATACTTTACCGTTATCTGAAAAAAAATTCGGTTATCTCCTTGGTTGCGAAAATTGATCTTTCGCACGTTACTACTAACTGAAATTAGATAATTAACGAGCCTTAGAGTTACTGCTTTTGCTCAAAATGTCAGATAAATTTATCTTACAAAACTAATTAGAAAAAATGAACTATGCGGGTAAAACGGTGAAAGAGGAATGGGGGGGGGGGAAGATAAAATCCTGAAAGAGAGAAAAAAAAATTACATGAAATAAACCTTGCTATTAAGTAGAAAATTCTGGAAAGCTGCGGAAATCTACTGACGGAAGTGAGTCCAATAAGACATGAATTTAAACTTTTAAGGAAGCTTCAGAGCAGCGATCGTTTTGTAATGTAACAAACAAATTTAAATTTCGAATTTTGATTTGTGAAAATTGTTTGAGCTCTGATTGTTGGACTTTTATTATTTTCTATTGGCGTGGCACATGTTAGGAGATGTGTTAAACATTTCATTGAGTTTAATCATGCGTTTTAAATTAAAAGTAATATCTTAAGTTATTATTCATTAAATTAATTTGAAACAAAACTGCTTTTTCGCGAAAGAGAAATTTGTAGCTAAGTAGTTAATCAGGTGAGATTAATGAAATGAAAAAACAAACAAGCAAATGTATCATTTTTACAGCATCGTCTTTCTCTCTGTGTATATATATATATGAGTGTGTGTGTGTGTGTGTATGCATGTATATTTAAAATTATTGTTAATTCCTGCATATGCGATTACCACACCACTTTTACTGTAAGAACGTAAATGTTTCTTCTTTAGTGTTACTGTTGTCAGGGCATGCGAAGTTAATTAAATGTTTTATTGTCCTGTGTTGTGTGTGTGTGAAAGTAAGAACTATAAATCTATGGAATTAAATATAAAGTAATCAAGACCGTAATATTTTTTCTTTTCTATTAAAATCGTATATAAATTTACAAGATATAGTAAAATTTATCTTACTGTAATGTGTTTCTAATATTGACCATTTACCATTTTTTTCTTCTTACCAATCAAATTGAGCTATAAGTATTAGATTTTTGTTTTATTAAAGTAGGAAATTATGCTCTATGAGAAGAAAAAGTTTTCTTGGTATATCTTTTTTATAGATTGATGTATCCATGAGCCCACATAGTCGCATTTTTCAAAATAGTCCTTTAAAATTTCTTCATCGTCTTCCATTACCTTTTTCCTAAATGGAAAATGTGATGTATTTATTACAAATATCTGTATATCTGTATTTCAGAATAAGTATTTAAAAATGGTTATTTAATCTAAACATGGCATTTTGGCCTCCTCTGTTATTAGTGAATCAATCCATCCTTCTGAATTAGAGGAAATGAATTAATGTTGTAATCTTTTTAGTAGGCAAGGTATACGTTTCCCGGCTAGAGAGTCAGTAGAGCGAGAGCGAGACTCTTAATCTCGGGTTCGAGCCCCACCTTGGGCGGTTGTTTCTCTTTAACAAAAGAAAGCTGTTAAATGTTTGTTTCAACATGATGTACAGGAAAATGGGAAAGTGATTTGGACATGGTTTTTCTTGTAACTCTTATATATTGTCTTTTGCTTTATTTTATATCATTTTATTTAACCACTTATTTAATTTACTTTTATTTTAATTTATTCATTTAATTAATTTGTTTTTTATTTATTATTTATTTATTTTTCATTTATTATTGATTTTTTTATCATCCATTATTCATTTTATTTTATTTGCTTCTATCAATTATTTCATTTATTTTTATTTATTTATTTTCATCGTTTTGAACAATATTAGGTTGTACTTAATTTGTTCTTCTGCAAATTGCACCTTGAATATATAACTCTTAATGCATTTTCTGTAAAAGAGAGAGTATTCATTGAATTCTCTAAGAATGCTCTGATTGAAAATTACGTAAAACAATAAATTCTGGTGGGGAAGTAAAAGAAAACGATAAAAAGATATTTGAAACAAAAAAAAATTAATTGATAACAATACCTTTTCTATACTGAAATAAGCAAGTTGAATTCAATGCTCGCTAAAAGCTGTAACAT